GGTAAAGATAGAGCTTAAGGGCGAAAATGGGGGAGGGGGAGGGGCTAGATACAGCAGCTCAAGGGAGTAGTGCAAAGTCCCTCGCTTCCCTCGCTACTACGACCTGTTCAGCTGCGGATACAGTGAAAACTCGTTTAGAGGCTAAGTTAGGCTGAGTACACGGCCCTAATGCGGCAAAGGTCACACTATGTAATCTACTTATTATAGTGCAAATGCCGAGTAATCGACTATCGAGTAGTCATTGGATTGTCAGTCCCGGGGAAACAACAGGATCTGAGATCTGCACAGAAGCTAGATCTGCGTTGCCCTCATATTTCTCCAATGAACAACTTTTCTATGATTTAGTTCTGGTTTGCTGATTTAGTACGTGCAAGTCCTTTTGTTACTGCCGACCAATTAATTCCAGAATCCGGTTTTCTCACTCACTTTCTCGTTACTAAGGTGCGTTAGGTGGGTGGAGCTTCCGTCTGCGTGAAGTACTTCCAGTCCCGGAATAACTTTTCGAGATAACTTCCGGGTTACTTACTTGCTAATTCTGTGCACCTCTGCCTCTTCTGCTGCCTATAGCGCCCCAGTTCTGTTCTCAACACCCTTGATTCCTACATCTTACTCGTACAGGGTTAAGGAGCACTCCAGGTATCCGTAGGAACTCTGTCACTAAACCACCGAGGTCGACGCCCTCGTCTTTGAAATGACCTTTAGCCCTTTATATCTCACTGTCTAGCTGCGTAGTATCAGCGCTTTACCCCCCTCTTCTCGATTGGAATTGTCAAGTAGTAATTCTCATTTACAACTAACATTACCGCGGATTGCGGCAGCGGTTTTCCCGCTTCAACAACTAACCCGTAGTGAGTTTCTTTCTCGAGCTGTTTCCACACTGTGAAGTGCGTATTGATTTTGCGCGCGCAGGATCGCGCATTCTGAATGGGGCTGAGCAAACTCGCGAGCGACTAATTCGGGGGAGTTCGCTTGAGAAGCCAAGCGAAGCTGCCGAACGTGGAACATTGGGGCTCAGGATATACGTCAACTCACAGTCTCCATTCAGTTCTTTTTCTTCTCTTCAGTCCGCAGGAAGAAATTCTCAGCTTGCTATTAGAGATCTGTTGTGTTCATTCTCAGGTGTGCGGCATTATTTACAATTGCAATATTGCCGCGGCTTACCGAGCCGACGCCGCTTACGCGAGAGACGAAGTTCTCCCGCCCGATGTTCGAAGTTTGAATGTTTTGAAATGACAAGGAAGGACCTTGTACTTAGGAAGTCTCGCTCTCGCTCAAACCCCACAATGGGTCCGCCTGAACTCCAAGTTGGCAAAACGATGGCACAACAAGAACGTGATTTAAGGCGCTGCCGCATCGCCGCATGGTGCGCCGCGCGCGGCAGCGCGGCAACTCCCAATTGTCTTGTCCGTTTCCTTTCCTTCTCCATATTTTTTCCTTCCTTGGTGTTATTTGCATTCTACATTGATTCTCACTAACACATGATGCTACCGTGAACTTTTTCCGCGTTAAAGGTTTCGATTGTGAAAAATTAAAAAGTGAGATTTTCAGATGACTAACTGGTTCGAATACGAATCGGGACATGCTTGGTGCGAAAGCGCCTACAAATATCAAACCCTGCCAATGGTAGCGGAATTCGCAAATACGGTAAGCAAATTTGTCCACAGCTTTCTTCGCTGGGGATGCTGGCAGAGATCGGTTTTACACGAATGGCGGCTCGTTCCCTCCCACCGTGTAAGGAAAAGGGACTGCGCCGCCCAGCATCCACAGCGAACAAGACCACATATTTCTGATATCCTACAAATTTCCTTTCAATTTATCAATTTTTTGACGGTATATACCTTGAAGAGAACCACTATCCAATGAGGCTGTCCCACGTCATGTCTACTTGTCTGCATCCTCTCACGGAGACAACGTGACATGTTCTGACACGACTTTGTGAGCGTCAAAACTTGTAGTGCTTTCAGCGCCTCAGCGTCAGGTGAGAAGGCATAGCGTCAGTGCCTTCTCACCTAGAAAGCACGACGTGACTATATCGACTTAAAGTACTGCTATGGCTTACTGAATAGTAGTCCCTCCCAAGCAAATTGTCGGCTAACAAGAATCGTACTCACAGCAGCGGTCATAGCGAAAAACTTTACTTTCTGCTTTTACTGGGATAGAAACAGTTCTCATATAGAGGAGCCGAAAAGTCGGCATAAAATATCGTTCTCAGGTGTGTAATGTTTGTTCCCCTCACCGCGCGCGACAAAAATGCGCGGCAAATGGAAAGGAATATTCACCCAGGCTACCGTACCCACCTTGCGCTGACGACAACGCGCATGAATTGGGTGATTGAGCTGGAATGGTATTGATTGCTTGCAAGCAGCATTAACGATTTCGATGAGTATACTATAAGCTGAAGTTAGTCCTAGTGGGATCAGAACTGGGTTGGGACTAGAAAAGGGCCGGTTGTAAAGCGCCAAATTAGCGAACACTAGCGTGATCGAGAGCCGTTCAGTCGGTTATTTCCTTTGTTGCATTAGTGCATTTTACTACCCCTAGTCAGCCTCAGCGCCAGTGTGAATGGTATGGACTGATGTGTGTGTGGACGTAACCCCACGTGTTCAAACCCCCTGAGTTATCTGAAGTGAAATCTCGTCTCTGAAACCGTTGAAGTAGCCCCAAGTAGTGCATAGAGAAAGTCCTCCCACACCTTGAGGGCCTCTTCAGAGCTGCCTTGTGGACCAATCGTCTCTTTTAGGCCAAAACTAGGACAAAGCATCCTAAAAGTACAAGTAAGAGCAAAGGGCATGGAAATAAATAGCGGGTGGGATAAATCAGATAACAAGTAAGTATGGCCCAGCTCTATCGAATAGCTTTTTTCATTTTCGCGGAAAGGGCAGAAGTGGGACATTGCAAGCGATGCCCTTTTCAATCTCATGATCCGACCACTTAAATCTCGGATCAAATCTCACCAAGGACAACTGGCCTTGCTTTTTTCCACGAACGATTAATTTGTATCAGATCTGTTCGTCTGGGAGTGAAAGAAAACAGTGATCAGCGCTTCTTGGAAGTGACAAGGGAGGCTACCGCAACTCACGTCTACCCGATTAGGAGGCGGACAAGACAATCGTAAGTTGCCGGGGGCATGAACAACCTCGTCGCTCGGCGCCAGCGCAAGCGTCGCGTACGCACGCTAGCCTGGCATACCATGCTTGTCGATTGTATTGCCACATACCCTATGCAACTGACCTAACCGAATCAACTGATTCACCCCATGGGAAAGGAAACACTTGATTAGCAAGAGGAAGACCCGATTCGAGATTCGATCTCCGCACCCTGCGCATATTAAGCAATACTATGTCGCACACCGACTCTTCGCACGTATCCCGGCACATTTATTGGATAAATTCGGCATGTAGTTGCTATTGCTTTATTATTCAAAAAGACTTTAAAATCCAAAAAAGTACCACTCGATTATCACTTCCTTTAGATCCATTTTTCAGATGACTAACCTTCCAATTATTGTCCTACCGATGTTAAACGCGATGATGTTGCGGCGATATATCAGAGAGGTGAGCTACTTTAAGCGATTTAGGCTCTATTTTCAATAGGTTTAGGAGAAGTATACACAGTGTAGTTCGCTGCGGACGGTTGGGCGTCTCAGTGCAGCTGCGTTTGGCGCAGTGCCAAACTCGTTCTACATCACCGTTGTCGAAGCGGGCAAGTGACAATATCTGTATTATTAACTTCCTTCGTATTACTCAATTTTCTACTAACTACTTTTTGTCCTATTACCCATGTTTCAACAAGAAGGCGGAGACGCCTTTGAGGGTGACACACGCTCATACTGGCTGACAAGCCCAACCGTCCGCAGCGAACTAGTGTATAATGATATTCAGTCACTCTCTTGATAATTTACTTCTTATCGAAGACCTTTTGGCAGTTGCCGCTTTATCAGGTGCAATGGTTCCAATCAAGATCTAAGAAATCAAAAGATCGCGGAACTCGCAGAAGACTGTGAAACTTGCAGAAGGCTGAACTAATTCGGTGCTCAACAAGCAGGCATAGGCGCAAATTCATTGGGAGTCGGTCGGGAGACCTGTTGCTGCAGTGTGGCGAAAGAGATGTCGCAAGCGGCATCGCTTGCGGCGCCGTAATTTACAGCTAACCGAGACCCACATTTAACCGTACCGCAACCAGCCTTGAAATCAGGTCACGTCCCACATTGAGGATCCCCAGTGAGGGGAGTCGTATTCGGTCGCTGTAAAGAGGGAGAAGTGTTCTATCTGCCTTCGTGAAAAATGTTCTGGTTTTCGACCTTTTTATGCTTTCCCGTCCCACTTGCGCTGTATGCCTCCCTGAAACCCCGCTCAACGGCGATTTTTTGGGGAAAAACTGAAGACTTTCAGAAAAAAAAAGAATTGGGAGCGTTCACTCAGAAGGATGCTAGGATAGGGAGGAGACGATCGTACTAGAGAAGCAAATTTGGAGGTGGGGGGTGTAGTATTTTGTAAAATTTGCCCCGATGGCAGGGCACATTTTCTGATTGAAACACTCACACTGCTCTCCACCTCCTGAGAAAGCTAACTGGCAGATTCAGAGCTCAGGATTATATGGTTAGGACTTTGGCTCATATACCTCAAAAGACACATTCCGCGATTATCGAAGAGGTGGAGAAAGGGGCGCAGATTCGTAACCAGTGTGTTTTCCTCATTGCTACCATCCTTCGTCTAACAGGTAGGAAAGAGGGCGCCAAGCGAAGAATGCACAATAGTTATAGCTCTCCGCCCATTTCATTGTCACGAAATCTTTCTCTGATAAACTCTCTCTCTCTCTCCCAGAAGGCCCCTCCAGAAGCATAGGCCTTGCTCTACTTTTTCTTTCTCGTTCAAGAGGGCTGAACGTTTTATCTTGAAGTTCTCTGAAAAACTCGGAGCAACTGACCTCTCAGCGATCACCGTAGAAAATGTTGGCACTGTTCAGCTCGAGGTGGGGAGGGAGAGGAAGAGAAGGGGCATTCTGCACTTCTGAGGTGGCCTGCACATGCTTCGCTGAGATCCATTTCTTCACCCCTCTTAGCCGACGTTCACTAATTTCTCTTGCAGAGAGGTAAAAAGGAATGGACTTATCCTGGTAATTTAGGTGAATCCTGGCCTCCTCATACCTCAACTACTACTCACCTTCAATGGATTGGCTTCCACGTACTACCATGCGACACTGAACTTATTCGGTGGGTCAGGACATTCGACTTTGGATATCTTCAAAGATTCCAAATCTTCTTCAAACCATTTGACATATATTTTTGTCCACGTCAGTTGCTTCGAGGCATTAGCCACAACATTGATTGAATGGAAATGATTTTCTTCGGGCGCAAGTTTCGAATTACAGCGGTCAGGTTGTACTTCTACGTATGACCAGTATTGAAAAAATGGATGTGGGGGCCACCTAACCTGTCACTTTTGAAATTATCTAGCAGAAATCTTGGTGCAAACGCAGGGAACGATTATCTCTTCTGGGGCCACCTGTGGCTGCTAGGGAAAGCGGTGCTTTCAAGGGGGGACTGTAGTTCACTAAAGCGTGTGTCGATCGAGGCATGTTGGAGCGGGGAGGGGGTGGTGTCAGTTTAGGTGAAAATGCCTCAATGACTTCGCCTTATTTAAGGAGGAAGGAGAGAGTGCAGAACAATCAATAAACAAAATGTGAAAATCAACGACCGCTAAAAGATGTGTAGGCCGGGCTAGATATGGCATTTCCTCCCTAGCCGTCTGAAAAGTCCCCAACATATGGATGTTCTGCTCCCGCACCTCTTCGCAGCCATGCGATTAGGCCCGACATGGACTTTGTCCGCGTCCCTCTCATTTATAAAAATTAGTCAAGCACAACTTCTGGCGTGAAAGCTTGAGGCGAGCAGAAAAATAGGAGCTATACAAGCTGGCCAGATCCAGGCGTACAGCATCTTGGGAACACGCACCAGGGAGATGGTATTTTAGTCGGGATTGATTTTGTCGGTTCATGAAAGTCGTAGCAATAGTTGTTAGAAATTGTATCTAAGGTCAGCGTAAAAATCCGGTTGTTGAAGGCAAAGCCTGCAATCATTCGGCCATCACAGATACGGGATTAGGGTTCGCATATAGACGACAAGGTTCTGAGTAACTCGATAGTGAAGAAAAAAGCAGAAAAAAACATGCCAACTGCCCTAGTAGAACCCCATCTCGATACCAGTTTGTATGTGCCCCTTTATTTTAGCCATCTCCAACCTTGCCATCTCGAAAGTGGTGGGTAGGCCGAGGAGTCGTGTCAAAAGAGGAAAGCTGGAGAAGCTGGTCGCACTGACACCGCCGATTCACAGTCACGACGTTCTCCCCAAGCGGACAGCCCGCACCACCACCTGGACTTACCAGGTGGGGGGCACGGATTAGTTCGTTTAGTTCCTGGGTGATCCTGGACTTCTAACTCCTAACAAGAATCGAGGCAGTGAAGAACATAAGGGCCAAATCAGCGCACGTTTAATCCGAGAGAACTCGTGGTGGTCTGTGTCTGCTCCCCTCAATGGACCCCAGTTCCTTTGTCCGAACTTATCGCAGTTCATTTGAGAGTGTACATTTGGCTTGAATATTCATTTACAGGTCAACTTGTCGATGAACTTTCACTGGTGTGGATCATCAACATGTTCCTCGTCGTCTACATTCCCGTCATGAAATGGTTTCCAAAGAAATTCAGTGAAAGACTGTGAGTTGGAATTACATATTCGATCGAAGTGGCGAGGAGCCAGAAAATCAATTTTTTTTTCTTGTTCCAAGGGAATATTCGTTTTAACTAAACCCTTAGTTCTTAACTACACTTTAAAGGGCATCGATTTCACGCAAAAGGTCACGCTATTCAAGACTTCAATGGCACGCAGATGCTACTTTGGCAGTCAGGACGTGCAGACAGTATGGTTAGGCATAAATTTACATCGGAGGTGGGGGGGGCGGGAACGGCGATATTGAACTGTGAGACCTGCAAGAGATAAAATATGGGTAGGGAGTAGACGGCATCGGCAAGGGTGAGGTCAGATCGACAGAATTTGGCCCACGCTTCAATGTCCGGTAACCCCGCTTGGGAGGCGGGTGAACTAGGTCTCTTTGTCTCTGCGTCCTCTCGCCGAGATAACGATCCCTCATCTCGCCCGGGTTCACTGGTCCCACCTTCAGACTATAACAGAAGTAGTAAATGTAAATAATATGCTATAGTTGTTTTTTTTTGAGTTTTCAATAATAACTTTTAAGTTGGTCTATGCGCCTGGGCCATAATTTCCCACCAGCATTTGTATGCCTACTTGTTATTATTTGGGTTCGTAATTTAAGGACCTATGCTACGACGAATGGTAGTCGTGATGACGGCGATTTTCTCCGGTTTATGTTTCCTCGAGCCAACTCTGAACGCTGTCGCTTTGATGCTTTTCAGTGTTCCAGCCGCAATTGTCATACACTACGAAGGCACCCAGTAAGTTAATAGCTTTAAAAACGCGTGAAATATTTTAGCTTTATTGTTTATTGCTGAATATCCCTCTCTAGAAGCCTACTAGGCAAGTTAGCATATTATTCGCAGCACATAGCGCGCCAATTTTTCCATCGCTGCGCTGTGAAGAATACGCGGTAATTCTAGTTTTTCCACGCAATCAGGGCACATCGTTGTTGGGAATCCCCTTTACGGGGAGGAGGCCGGCGGTCGTATTCTCGGTGGGGAAAAATTTTTGATGTTGCTGGTTTTTTGTTTCATTGCGACTATATAGCCCCCGCCCCCGCTCGACAGCAAAATTTTTGAGGAAAATTAGGGATTTTTTCGGGAAATTTTGGGGAAAGAGGCAGGAAGTTGGGGGAAAAATCTGAAAATTGGTAGAAGGGGGCTAGAGGCGAGCAGAATTATTTGTGGGCACGAGCCCGCGGTCAGCAAAAAGGACATGCAATTCCGATTAATGCCCGCCGCCCAACAAAGAACAACTGAGCGGCCCTCCGTCAGAGGGCATCTAAAAAGTGGGCGGTCCAACTGAACGGGCGTTAGAACTAGAACTCTCAGAGTGCGCTGGTAGCACGCATCCTCGCTCCTGTGAAGTCGCGATAACTTGGTACAGTCTCTAGATTGAAGGCCTGTACTACTTGCAGCAAGGAAGGACGACCATGTACTACTTGAGAGCGGGGGCTGTCTTCAAGTTGCACGCTGTAGTTTCAGCATACACCTTGTGGTTGACGAGAACAAGTACTGCAAACGTATACCCCTGAAACGACCAGTCTATGACGCGCGCGGTCACAGCGCTGCGTGGATGTTCAATCAATGTGTTATCTCGTCGGCTACCACTTTTGCCGCTCTAAAACACACTCATAACACAGACTCACAAGCCCTTTTCTCATAGGGGTAGGACAATGGGACTCACGGAAGGACATCCTGGTTAAAGAAAGCCTTTTTAACCAATCAACATTTTCAGCTCAGGGATTCCGGACATCGAGAACTTCCCTCGTAGGACCCTCACACTGTGGTTCACGTCATTTGGATTTTGGTTTGCCGATCGGCTCCTATGCGACGTTTGGTTGTGGCTCGGTAATCACTTATCGACCTACATCCTGATTATTTATTTTTTATTTTTGCGAAAACCTAATCTCCATTATGTCATTTAGGCGCCCCTTACCTACACGCACTGTTCCATCTACTAGCTGGACTTGCTGGATATTCCGTATTCGTGATGTTCTCCATGATCGATATCGAAGCAAGGAGCTCCTCTCACAGGTGAAAAAATATCCAAAAGTTATTGTTCGCCTTCAGCTGGTCTCCAATCGCGGATCCGGTAGGTGTGGGTATGGATACGTGGCATATGCGTCGCACCTACGACAGCAGGGTACATCGTTGTCGCGGGAATGCCCAACAGCAGGGTCCATATTTTGCCGCCAAGAGAGGGGGATCGTGTTTTGGGTGTGGGAAGAAAATTTTATTTACGATTAGTTGTTTTTTCTTGCTCACGAAGTTGTTGATGGGTCGTACTTGCTCATTGTTCTGGAAGCGGTCGCAATTATACTTTTGGCCTTCTAGGAGTGGTGGTTGACTTTTTTCCCTGTTTCATGCGTACTATATACCCTCCCCCTTTCCCCAACCGCTCGGCGGCTCGATGCTCGATTCGATGAGGAGGGACAGAGGGCCGGAGGGGGGGGGGGGGATGGGGCCGTATCATATCAACCTCGCCCAGTCGTACGGACTCGGGCGAAAATCCCCAAGCAATGATTGTGGCCTGTACTTGGCAGACACGCACGTTAGCAGTACGTACAACAGCTCGCGCAGCCATGGCCCAGGTCAGGCCGGTTTCGATGGGGATTCCCTATGGGGGGGGAGGGTCGCGATGAGGCCGCCGTCGTATTTCTCCCTACGGAGTTACGTGGTTCGACTTCCATGAGTTGTTATGACGCGCCCGTACGATCGTACCGTCGCATGCTACTACAATACCCCCCCCCCTCGACAACTTTTTCGGCCGAGTATAAAACCACAACCACAGTCAGCCAATCCAGTGTCATTCATGAAAAAGTCGTCGAGCGGGGGGGGGGTATGTAGTAAGCATGCGACGTACATCGTACGAGCATGGGGGGGGGGTCGTACCAGCCCCTGAAAAAAAGGGGGGGGGGGTCGTAAAAGCTCGACCAAAATCCCCATCGAATGCTGTGCCCTGCGCGCAGCGTAACTGTGTTGTCATATTGACATTCTTTCTTCTCATTCTTCAAGAAAAATGTTTTCGGTTGTTGGAGAAACTGAAAAAAACTCCAGTAAAAGTGGTAAGAAGTTGGGAGGAAATTCATTAAGAGAAGATGGCATTGGAAAAAAGAAATCTTCTAACGGGGGGGAACTTGTCGTGAGGTAGGTGAGCAAAATTTCCATTAACGGTAGGACGTGCCTTGTTTCTGCGTTTAATATTGGCAAAAGTAGAAGATGGGTAGCTATTAGCAAAAACTTTGTCAGTAAGGGAAATAGTTGCCGCCACTGAATCTTTCTCTGCCGCAGAAACTAGTGTCGGGTAGGGAGGGAGTGGTACCACTATAGCGCACCATGCCTGTTTCTCTGTTTCTTCCTTCTTGTTCCTCTCAACATCAGCGAGGATCAGCCTCGATTGAGCTTGTTTGGCACATTTGAGGCCCCCACAAATAATTTCGGATGTGGAGCACAAAACCTTTAGGTTTTTCTTTTCTTTGCTTGAGTCATCTACTATCCTCCACCCCACTTGTCCTACCCTTCGCACGGGTGTGGCTTTTTTTCCTAGGAATATCTGCGCGTGCACCCATCCATGCGTGGCTACTCCAATAATCGAATCCGGTGCTACACACCACATTTTTGCTGACATTCATAACAAGCCACTCATCGCACTTAAAGATTTCAGTTTTCCAGGTATACGCGGCAGTTACGCGTATTTTCCTGACAAAAGTGATCTCTTACTCTCATTATCCCTTACACTCCACTGCGGGGAAAACCCGCTGATTTTTAACGAAGGAAAATCGCTATTTCAAATTCCAACTTATCTGTCGACTATCGCGAGCGCGTTTCGCATTTGTCCCCGGACATTACTTTAGCGGACAAAACCCCTCATACTGATCTTCTCATTGTACCATTATTCGGGTAAAAACTGACACAAACCTGTAAAAGCGGAGAAATCTGCCAAAATAAAACCTGCATGATCATAGAAGCTTAATTGGAATTTGAAACAAATATCCACGTGCTGATACTTTGCCGCGGAGTGACGCGTGGCCGTCGGGTGGTCGACCGCAGTGATGGACTCGATACAAGACATTAGGTTCGCCCACTGAACGGTCGCGCTCCAGTTGCACTAGTAAAAACTCGGCAGTTTCCTATGTGGGTAGTTAGGTAACGCATTGCACTTTATTTTCCACATTTCAGAATTATGCTTTATCAGTGCTGCTCATTTCTATAATGCTCGCATATTACTAATTAAAGGCAAGTGGCACGATAAATCCCCAAGACGTGTAGGACGACTAATACGCCTAGCAGGACAGACAGGTGGAGCCTCTCAACTAAACGCTGCGTGCCTTTTCCCAAGAAGGTGCCCCTAGCGCCCTATCAAGCTGCAGCATACCGACCCGTACCCGCCCACTCGCGCCCGCCCGCCCACAAGTGTCCGACCAACGCTGTTGCTCGTTTCGCTTCATTTGCGGAGAACAATATGAAGCGAAGGGATTGATATGGAAGCGGTTGCGGTGTTGCATGGATATATGAGAACACACATGCAGCCGCATTTACCGTAGCGGTTTATTGGCCACGGTTGGCCAACGGAAGCTTGCCTGTAGCATCACTTTGAGTCATGATGAACAAAGGTTTTGCCAGATTTTCGAACCGTTTGGCATTCATTATTTCGCGCATTTTTCTCACCAATATTCGCCACCCTGCTAGCGATTCAGACGCGTTTCCAGATTATCGCTGCCTTATGTCTTTAAGTTAAAAACTTAGGGCGATCGTGTCCAAGGGCAGCCACCAAAAAGTGAAGAAACGCGGTTGCGACCGCGCGCGTCCCGGTGCGGCTGTCTAGGACGCGACCACCCACATTAGAACGATTTTACCAGATTAAGCCTTTCTTCTTTGCTTTTTTTTGCATTCTCACCCTCCTTCACTTGCTTTTTGTGATCTTTTACATCTCATCGAAGTGACATATTCCAATTATTTGCACTTTCATTGTTTGGCACATTTATCTCGTGATTTGAAAGAAAAAAGAAAACAAATAAATTGAATAAATATCTCTTATCATCTCAACATTTCGTATTTGCATGGAAACAAAGTAAATGACGAGTGATCCACCAAATTCAACACAAACATCCATGAGAAGAAACACATTCACCAACTATCTCGGAAGAACAGGGCAAACACAAGGCCGGAACGAGTGGCTCAACAATTTTAGCTCAACCATTGTCATCATTCCATAGTAAAGCGAAACAAAACCGAATAATAATCTAGTAGTTTCTGACATTATAATAAGTATGAGTTCGATTACATCACCGAAAGTGAAGTGAAAAACCTCTAGCTACTTAAACAGCCCCATTCTCACAAGGATCCCAACAAGATGGCAAGGGAAAGGGGTTACTACGACCCTTCTGTCTGCTATCTCAGAGGCTACACCTGCGAGATAAAGTCAAATCACTGCTTAAGATTTGGTTCCATTTCCGGGTGGCAAGTACGGTACAACTAAGTTCCTGCTGAACTGACGAATTTGTTCCGGACCACGTACTTCTTCGTCTAACATCGGCAATTTCGTGATATGGAAATCCTCGTATAAATCGGCGATCTGAAAGAAGGGGTCTGAAGTAACTTCTAAGGACATTTGAAATATGAGATGAGATTTAAAAACGTTCTGGAAATGTTTGTAAACAGATGAAGAGCTTCTTTAGATGGCAGCTACTATTTCACTCCAGTATGCAGACATGGTCCCTGCAAACGACAAGCCGTGTGAAACGAGTTAGAATGAAGCGCGGTCTTTTTCCACCAATGAGACCATCCTGAGCCCACTCCAATTGGTGGGAAATTAGCCTGGACGGCGCACTAAACCACGGCCCCGCAACACCCCTATCATTTGCAGTGATAGGGGTGTACATGACTGTAAGTTCGCCGTTCCATACGTTGATGTTAACACCCCTTGTTAGAACAGGTCACGACGTCACACCTCGTGTCATGACCCAGGGTACAGCATCGTTGTGTCAACCCATGGGGGGGTCGTACTTCTGCTCTGGAGGGGGGGGGGTCGTATTTGTAGGACAAGTTTATTTAGATAGTTGATTTTTCTTGTGGAAAGGTGGGGGTCGTATTAATTGTTTTATGTGCAGTATATGCATTCTGTACGCCCGTGGGATATACGTTGCATAGTTGGATAGTCACTGTATACTCCTTCCCGCCCCGTTCAAGAACCGCTAGATTTTTGATCAGAAGTAGTGTGTGTAGCATCCTGAACAGGGCATCGTTGGTTGGGGAATCCCCAACAGGGGGTCGTATTTGGCCGCCAGGAGAGGGGGGGGTCGTAGTGAGTGCGGCAGCCAGTAACGAGCAGCGCAAATTGTCAATGTGCTGAGTCCTGTACAACGAAACTTGCTTTGTAGAGAACTCGGATATGCAAAAAAATAGTACAAAACTTTCATTCATCAAACTAATCCGAAATAACTGCAAATATTAATAAGTCGACATTATCTCGTAAGTCCGTTGGTGACTAAACAGTACAACTCAAACTCTGGTTCGCTGCCAATGATATGGCGTGTCCGCGGTCGCGCTTGGCGCTGAGCCAACCTGTTTTTTTCTCGACAAGCGACAGGACTACCATATCGTTCATATCAGACGTTTTCCAGCAGTTGGTCTCCTTTATCGGAGTCAGCAATTGCACGAATCTGGCAGCGTTGACAGGGACATGTTCCTCATAGCGCAACGGAAAACACTGTAAACAAGTGCACAGGCTCGCCATGGACCTCCCTGAACCTTATAGACACATTTGCTCGCGTGAACAGACATTACGCACAAGTTGCACCATCCCATCACCTCTGCGCGGCCCTCAGTGCGCGGCGCATCCAAAGTTGGCGTGATCGGCGCTAAACGAACCATATCCTGCTCCTGCTCCACCACAGGATACGTTCTACATGCGTTCCTGGCTATTCGAACACGCTCACTTGAAACGGTACACAGGAAACGGGTTTTTCGCGCAGCTGGGAGTGTTCCTCAAAATCCCATAGCGAGATCTCATGAATCCCGAGAGCTTCAGAAACAGTTCAAGAGGTTTTTAGAAAGAGAAAATCTTCAAACACTCGAAACCATTCTCAGATTTGTGAAATGTTGAGTTACAAAAAAGAATAGTATTGATCAACCTGTTGACGGTTTGAAACCCACTCCCCAACGAATCCCTATGGCAGATTTCTCTGTGATTTTTGCGACGTTCATAAACGTTTTAGTACTTTTAGGAAGTGCAAACCTTCCTCTACACGAGTACGGTCTCCTCTTCCCCACAGGTCCGCTTTGAGGAGTTAGGTCCTTCAAAGACACCTAACTCAGCTGGAAATTCTCGCTCCATGGCTAAAATTGCCGAATAATCTCCTGTCACAGCCGCAATTACATGCGCTTCTGCTACCGTACTCCAATAATCGGGGTAATGCATTTTTACGGCGGTTTGTATAACTGTTACGTAGTGAGACAAGCCTAACTTTCTCTTTTCCTCGTCCTCAATCTTGGGAATAGACGTTGTTAACACTGTGGTCGCTGATGGCCGCTCCCAGAGAGGGAGTCCACCTCAGGTTAACGAATGCTCATTGAATTTAATCGCGATATATCGTTATTATTACCATGTGTGTTTCAAAACGGCCATCGAAGAAGTTCATCATACGAGTTTCTCATAATACGATTGTACCGTTTTTGTTTGCAATCATCTCTGTATTGTTCTATTATGTCATGACTTCAAGTCGTCCATTTAGTATGGGCACCTTCATACAAGTAGAATTTCATAGCGTTTCATAGTTTCATTTAGGCGAAAAACCGAAGCGCAAAAAAAGGGGTCGTACAGACCTCAAAAAAGGGGGGGGTCGACACGTCGACAAAATCCCCATCCCGAATGCTGTGCCTGAATGACACCGTGCAATGGAGGAAATCGATCTTGTGACACATATTCCTTCGACTCGGCAGTGAACAAAACAGTTTCAAGTGACAAAGGCTCTCCGTATTAGGACTACCCACCCCGGGATTCCCATTACTGAAACGAATATCAGTAGTTAGGCAGAAGTAATCACATCACAGCAGAGTTTCGCCTGAAGGGCCCCCAATGGTCCCTCAGAGGCTGCTTACTGGTCGCCCAGATCTGATGCTGAACGGCTCACTTCGTAGGACTGACTAGAAAGTTACAGGTTTTGGATAAATAAGATCTCGCTTGACTGGCTAAAGTAACCTTTCATAGTGCAAGGTACCCTCCCCTGCTCCCACATCCTTTAACCGTACAGCATCTTACAGCACTTTGCACATATGCGATCGGCAACGATCCTTTCAGGGATGCGTCACGTTTTCGATTTCCATTTGAAAGGAATATGACGCATTCCGGAAAAAAATCTGTTCATCATGGAAAACACCATCTTTCGAACTTTGTCATTACGTCTGCGTCAAGAGCTAAAAATATTTGATTACCCCAGTTGTGTTCGGCTTTTCAGTGCAATTCACCTCACAAGACTTGCGGAAGCCAGTACATGCACATGTCAGTGTCCTGTTTCTCCAGAAAGTCTGGAATCGGATTTGGCCGCCCGGGAGGGAGACCTTAGTGCTGGACAAAACGCGAAAAAAAGATCCCTAATGCGACTTCAGACACCATACTTGAAAACTTGCGGAATTACTACTTTACCGTTGTGACGAAAAGTTATATCCGCAATGAATGGGGCGTGTCTGCCGTGCATTCACACAACCATAGTGTGTGTTCTCTCTAAAATATTCTCATTTGACACAAAAGCCACCTTAAAGGTTGGCGAAGTCCGTTCAGCTGTCAAAACTGAATTTTCCGCCAAGCGCCAGCGCCACCAGGTCCAAAGGAGTATCTGTCACCCCTCTCCAGATGCCGCGTTATTTAAGGCGTGTAATGACGCTCATCATCTATGTGGCCATTCCTTGCTCTATGACGCTGAACCAAGAATGAATAGGCGACTACTGATGATAACCAGATCATTTTTTGGACATGTGTTTATTACGGCAACTGTTCATTTCAGTTACTCGGACAACTGGAAGGCAGTCCGTAAAGAGAGAAGAATGACTGAGACTTTGACTTGTAGCGGAGTGCTGTTGAGTTTTTTTGACACATAAGAATACGCTGATATCATCGGTATCAAACTTTTCGCGCACTGGAAGGAACATTTCTCATGTTTCAGACTACTACGCCGCATAATCTTATTGAGTGAACAACGGTTTACATGCAAAGCTGGAAAAGCCGCAAAACTAGGACTGCTCTCGATGATCAATAGTAGCACGGTCACGCGTGACTGGCGAATGGAGACAAGACGATGGATTTCTGGTGTTTGATTTTGTAGTTGAAGTGGGTGCGGGAATATCTTGTTCGGTTTTTCAAAGTTTATTTAAATATTTGTTTGTTGTTGGCAAAGTGATTTGCAATCGATAGGAAAGTGCTCTTCTGCTCTACAACAGTGTGTTATTTGTTGTTGAGTCTTTTGCATTTTTTTTAATTTTCAGGCTAAACATGAGAATTACTCAGAGGCAAGAAATCAGCCCCTCTTTCCACCTACTTTCTCGCTTTTCATCGCTGGCCCAAAGCATACTGGAACGTATAGTGCACTTGGAAAATGCTCGGAACACAACCGCCAACAGGTCACAAGAGACCCTCTACATTTGCTCAGCTGCACCGTGTAAATGAGGCAATTCGAATGAAAAGACCCGATCGACAAGGTCAAGTCATCCTACTCCACGACAACGCCAGGCCGCATATCTCAGCAAGTCGTCAGGCTGCACTCCATGAGCTCAGATAGGAGGTTTACGATTCATTCGTCTGTGGACCTTGCGCCAAACCGACTATCACGTCTACCACATCTGTCACATCAAACGAGGGTGTCACCTTCGAAGGACGAAGAGGACTCAAAAAACTGGCTCACAACGTTTCGACACTAGACCTGGCGATTTTTGGCGGAACGGCATCAACAAATTGGTCGAGAGGTTTGAGGAGGCCGTAAACAATGACGGAGAATACATATTTGAAATAATTTATTGTTATAAGTGTTGTTTTGGTTTAAATAAAGCTCTTTGAAAAAAAAACCAAAAACGAACTTACCCCCCAACCCTATATAACCCCTTCAGTCAGCAGCGCGGCAATTATACTATTTTTGGATTGCATCTGAGGCAATCACACCTCCGCTGCGCCTCAGCTGTGCTAGGTATAACTAGTGTGGTGTAGAAGAAAACTAAAGGCGAGAGGGACGTTATTTGAGGGAAATTACCTGGAAGTGTAGCGGGAGGACAATCGTCATTTGTCGCTTTTCTCTCGCGGCTATCGATGCGGCGAGGTGATTAATTCCACTAGATGCCATTCTAATTCTACTAGATGCATCAGTTTGTTGACTGGAGCAGCGATCCCCATATGAATTCGAGCGGAAACAAAACTCTGTGATGGGCTATATGAACTTATCCGTCCCCTTCACACTCAAATTTATACGGCAGGGCAGCGCAACTTCTTTGGCGTTCGCAGCGTCGCTCGTCACGGCCGCCAAAGCGGCATATTACGATTGCCTTGTCACATACAACCTTCCTTAGCACCATGCTCACCCCCAACTAGTAATATGACCGAGCATCATTTTAGTTTAGTCGCTGCGTCTATGTCAATCTATAATGTTCCAAAGCTGTTCTATTATGGTAATCCATAATCGTTTTTTACATGACGTAATGGGCCGGAACATATGCTTGCGCCTTTCTATTTATGCATGATTTATATTCTGTGGATACAAAAGATTTTTGATCGCCCTTTGTGTAAATGCGCTACCCTTCATCAGTTGAAAATATAAAACGATAGAAATAAAGATGATTTTAAAACTTGCCTGTTCAAGATATTTTGACTGTATTCGAAATCGTGCTTGACATTTCTTGCACTGAACACAACCATCTGTGGTATCCGGGAACAATAACTGATTCACGATTATATTATGTGTATCGATACCCTAAAATTTGATATGAAAATGGATTGGAGTGCTGATCATTTTCAAAAATGTTAATAGCCGTATCAAACTCGCACCTGTTTAGTAAGCTCTTGTATGAGACGTTCTGTTTCATACAGTGACAAAAATTCCGCAATACATACACAAACGAATGTGGTGAGATCCTTGAATATTATCGGTCAGTTATCTTTAGAAAGTGTCCAGCATTAGAAAACGGAATACAACTTACGGGATTCTTGAACTCGACATTCATTCGCTTGACCTGATCCAATGTCTCATTGAATTTTCTCATGGTATCATCCATAGACAACTCGCCCATTCCAAGCAAGCCAGACAACTAGAAAATGCCAATGCATAATAACAAAATGAAAACTATTGGATAAGTTGTGGTAATGAAGGCGGAGGTGGTGTAGTGAGAAGTGGCGCGCTTACCACCCGTGCGGTCCTGGGTTCAAATCCCAGATGGACTCCCGCCTAAGCCAACCAAGCCTTCTACCTTCTGGAACGGTAAATTGGTACCAGATTCGTCTGGGAGGATAAGAACACTGACATTGTACATCGGCCGTTGGCCCCGCTAAGTCATTGTATAGGCCACATCGCATTCAACAAGCCACTACGATTCTGTACGAAAGTAGAATGCGTGCTGCGACCCAAAAGTGGATTGATCAACGACGAAGACATTATCCTTTTATCCTTAGACCGTTAAAATATCCTCATTCAACATCGTTCACCTCTGATTTTGGCTTCACAAAATCCCTGAAGTTCAGGCTTTCCAATTTATGGTTCATGAAAAGCATTGTTCAGAGTCTGAGCCCTACGAGAAATAAAAAATTTCTGAAACGGAAAAGGTAAATCATGAGTCAAAGTATAGATAGGATAAAGTCTTCGCCGTTAATCAATCCCTTTGTGGGATGCGGCACGCATTCTACTTCCATTCAGAATCGTAGTGGCTTATTGAATGCGATGTGGCCTATACAATGACTTGCGGGGGCCAGCCGATGTACAAGTCAGTGTTTTATCCTCCCAGACGAATCTGGTACCAATTTACCGTCCCCGGAGGGTAGAAGGCTTGGTTGGCCTGGGCGGGTGTCGACCTGGGATTCGAACCCAGGACCGCGCGAGTGGTGAGCGCGCCACTTGTCACTTCACCATCTCCATTTGTCAAAGTGATCCGTCAGTCAAACTGTAGCGTGAGTTATTAATTTTGATTGAGTTGTTAGTTGAGTCATTAATTTTTTAATTCCCCTTCAGGATTTCTAGTTTGCGTTTATATTTTGCGTACGCCAGCGCCAGCGTCCAGGAAAGTATAGACATCGATCTAGCGTTCTCCAGTTAATGCCAGCATACAGCAGCGTTTTGTGGGCCAGTTTTTCTCGGATTCAAATTGCCTGCGAAAACGCTGACGCTCGCTAGATCGATATCCATGCTTTCCTAGTCGCTGGTCCACGCTCGAAAACTAAATTATAGGTTTTGACGCGAAGTATGAGCGCATCCTTACAGACGCTTTATTAGACTGACTTTTCGGACAGATGTGAAGCCCTACCGAGCATTCAGAGTGAAAGTCAAAGGCGAAGGAAAAACCAGCATCGAAGAAAAAGGATGGGTGTGATATGACGAATATAACTGACGAATCGAAGAACGGCGTGAGCGGAGGAGAAAATCGGTCCTTTGGAGAAACGGTGAGCACGAGAGTCGTGGAATCAATAAACATGTAACTTTTTTCCTACGCTTTGTTACAGCAATTCGTCAACACTTGCGGTCGATCTGAGTTAAATCGATCGTGAGAATCGGGGATCCTCCCTTTGCAAGGGATTCTCCTATTCTCTGACAAGTGAGGAGAAAAACTTTTAATTATGCGTTTCCTCGACCAAGATTGGGCTGATTATTAGCCTAGTTATTCCTACGGCTATCTAAACCGCAACTCGTGACTTCGCAGAGCATAGCGGCGCCTATGCTGAATTTAAGCACTCAATAGCATGAAGTTGATAGATCATTTCAAAAGAGCGATACACAGGAAAGAGAGAGTTTGACTTGTGACTGAGAAAAACAATTGGAAGTTGAACAATATTGAAGAAAAAACTTCACGAAGCTGATCTCGACATAGGAAGCAGCGAAAGATGACTTGAAGATAAGATTTTCGTGAATCGCTATTCTGCGAGAATGACGGGGGAACTGAAAGCAGTCAAGGACTGCGGCTGTGGGTGTCCGGTGACGGCTGGTGTCCAAAGACGACCACTATTCAAAATCAAGTGAATTGTCCATCCTGAAATAAAAGAAAGCTAAAGGCAAGGTCGACTCAAAAATGCGTATTGAGTGTTTGAATTTCGCGACTCAAATGAACGACCTCCAAAGGAGTCCAAGCTTCTTTTCAGGCAGGAGGTGAAAGGAGAACTATGTGTGCAAAGTATCACAGTTACTTCCTATTTCATCAAGGGAATAAAAACCCGCTTTAATACCTTATTCGTCATTCCAGTATAGCTGCAAACAGCACAAATGTTGCAAAAGTATGACAGTTTGTTAGTCTGCAGTCAGAGGACAAATTACACTGATTCAGCAGAAATAATTGCAACGTGCAATATTGCGAATGGGGATGCAATCGAGAATCTCTGGGCAGGAATAATGACATGCGCAATACCACAAATGTCAATGCGATCATTGTTGGCATTTCCTAACACGTTGCATTTACACAAGTGTGTTGGGATGCGGACCTGCTCACAGATCAGGGTCGCCAGCCATTGAAGAAATCTTTTGGCAAATACGATCCCAAACTTCACTCCCCCCCCCCGTCCCTGCAAACGTTGTCATATCCTCTGCTACGACCCACCTTCCCCATCCACATGTTCCTAGATTTTTTTCCAACTTCCTACCGCTTTTCCTGAATAGCTGCCGTCGAGCTGGACTGGGGGAGGGGGTGGGGATGAAGTTGGAGGATGAAGCGCACTCGAAGCAGCAAAGCCGAGAAAATTCTGAACTGAAACATTTTTTGCAAAGGGAAATACGACTCCCCCACTCCAGCAGCAAAATAGGAACCGCTTGGGTCGCGTTGATACAACAATGAAGAAATGAAGAAATCGCGTTAGAAGAAAGTATATGTATGGATATGAAAAACTGCTGAGGTGAGAGAAATGCAGAGCCGCGGATTCTGCAGATATGCCGAAGTGACGGACAACGACTTGATAGGGATTGATCGCTTAGCCCCAGCAGTGGCAGAATTGCCGATACTGCGCAATTCGGCATTTCTGCGGAATCCGCCTTTCTGCATTTTCCCCATTTCCTGGGTTTTTTTGAATTGATATATATACTTCCTCCTACGCGGTTTCGTCATTTATTCAAACTCCGGCCCTATTGTGGATCCCCAACATACGACATGCCCCGACTGGATTAGCTCCAAAAGAGTTACAAAAGTGTGAATTGGTGATTACGAGGATGATCATCAAAAAAAGAAGAAAATCTAAAGGTAAGAACAAGACCTACTTAAGCATCTCTGCAAAGCTCATTGCTTCATCAATACCCGGCATCCCACCAACCATATTATGTAAAAGTTCTCGTCCCATCGACGCTATTCCTCCTGAAATCGGTTTTGAAGATACATAAACAACGGAAAATTCAGAGTAAACGCACCGTTGCTGTCCATGAGCTGATCTAGTCCAGGTAAAGTAGAACCTTCAACTGGATTTGAATCAATTTCCTGGAATTCAAGATGTGGATTCAGATGAGACGAAGGAGGACGGTGAAGAACGCTTACCATAGCAAAAAGGTTATTGAATCCTGAAACTTTTTGAGGTGTTTTTGTGAATTTCTGATTTAAGGCATCGGATATGTTGTGAGCGGGATCCGTTGAAATCAATAAAACACTTCGTCTTTTAGCCGCCAGTTGTACAGCTAGCGAGCAACTAAACACTTCACTCTAAACTGATTTACAGGAAACAAAACTAGAAGGCGAAAATGAAGAAAGTAAGCAAAAAAAAAGAAAATAAACAAAATAAGCGTACCTGCACGTCGTTTTACCGACGCCACCTTTTCCTCCAACAAAAATCCATTTCAGAGTGGTTTGTTCCACAATATTTGCAACAGAAGCCTCCAATTCTTGGCTGGCCATTTGTAGAGAATAGCGAGCGTATGAGATGGCAGCCTCAGCAATGATGACACCACAATTCAACGTGTGCTGGGGAAACTCGTCCAGTTACGGTGCCTATGCTCCGCCCACCACGGAAAGAATGAATCCAATTGCGAAAAACCACGCGTGAATAACAGATTAATTTATGCTTAGATTTCGATTATGATTGTCTTAGGGTGAATCCCAACCCCTACAAATATTGATCTGCTTAGCTGTCTATGGCAAAAACTGCGCAATACTTGTTTCTTTCGGTCTTGTAAATGGAGGGCAGCTTGAAGGGAATCTTCGCTTGGAATTTACAAAATCGAGGCGCATAGTCCAAGAAAGTGAGAATATTTCACGCTCTTCTGTGATAAAATCCAGAAGAACTGAAGTTTGACTGCTCACGCACTTGAAACCATCCCTTTAAACGGCAGTAGTTTTGGTTAGGCTTCTGTCAACCGGACATACTCTCGCTGCAAAAGTGCAGACTCACTATGTTCTAGACGAGCAATCAGGGAGGAAAATAAGGGATAGGGAAAAGAGAAGGAAGGAATGAAAACGAGGAAGTAGGAAGATAAAAGGAAGGAGGGTTCATGGTCTGCGTTTGTCGGCGCACCTTCTCTACCCACGCGTCTCAACTTTTGTAGCATGGGAGTGGTTAAGTCACCCCGAAGCTTTTCGCAGCCGGGACAGCCGCGCGCGCTGAAAAGCCAAATCTGTGTTTCCTGTATGTTTCTTTGGCAATGTTCAGTGCACCGGCTGCCGATGGTCCTATCTTCTGTCCGCGCTTTTCCTCTTCAGTGGAACTAAGCAGGCTCAGCTGTACTCCGCACCACTGGGTGGTACTGATGGCCGTTGTACGACAGGCTTTACTCCCAGTGATCAAGAAAGAGAGAGGGTCATGTCGATGCCCTAACTCAGCGCTAACGAAATGACGTTACGCATTAGCAAAGCGGCACGTGGGTGCGTAGTTTTCCATATGAGGGCGCACCCACTCTCCACGGGTCCGTTGCATGAGGCAGTGGAGGTTGTAGATTTTGTCAAGATTCACAGCCAGGATGGATTAGATTTTTCGTCTTATTTATCAATCACTAGTGCTCGCATGATAAAGATACTGTTCACACTTTCACGTTGATTATATGGGCAGGATCACTTACTTAGATCGAAGTTACTCTGCGCATACACTGCCATATCACGAAAATGGGGAGGGCGTGATTGCCTATTCCCTTGCAAGCGGCATAAAATGTGCTTTTCGTGAGACGTGTTTTCTTTGAGACAAATGACATCCTATCTAATGCTGGATAAAGGACTACAATTCTCCCAAAAATGACACCAATATCCCTCCATAAGCGTAGCCATCACCGCGTTTATTTGAAGTACGCACCCTTACGCCTCGCCAATCCGAAAAACGTAAAATCGGGCTTGGACGTTCTCGATTGTTCAGATTTTTAGGTATACAACTTTTGAATGAATACACTTTTTTCATTTTCATTTCATTTTTCCATTTCAATTCGTGCTCTCTGCCAAGCATTCTTATGCTAATACGCATGCCAGTGAAGAGAGAAAGGAAGACAGTTCGGGAGGGGGGGGGGCGTAATTACCCAAAATTTCACATAGCCCAATGCTGAATGCAGCACATGCGCATGCTGGCCTGTTAATCTCCCCCAGCCCTTTCTTGCCTGGAACTTTTTATAGTCAATAGGGGTGGGGAGACGGCCAAAAGAATCGTAATTCCGCTCCGCCGCGCGCGGCGATGAGCGCGGCGTTTTCTTAACTCGTGTTAACTTGTCGATTGGAGCACCGGACTTCATGTAGACCCCGTCATCGTAGACATTCATGACTATTTCCGGTTCTGAATTGCCTGTTGTCGCCATCTACTACCTGGAACCATCGTCATTTGCTGGCGCGACGTCGCACGCGGCGCCCACCAGCGCGGCGAATTTCGAATCTCTTGTCACATACCCGGGGCGGGGTATTATCCTTGGAAGGTTGTTAAAGGAAACCATACATTACCATACCGATACCATACACTAATATAGAATTATTTATATAATATCACAACACAAGTGTCATACACTATTTATGATCCGGAAAGAAGAAAATCTAAACCTTATTACATATTGGAGCATATCACAGAGTTAAACGGGAAATCAGTAAGGTGATACAACTATAAATTGCTCTAATCAACGATGCAAAGCAATTAGAAAGCATATGATAGATACAAACCCGAAGGCACTTGACAGGCGTATACGAGAAACAATGGCGACCTTACCACAATACAAAGACGACGATCAAGTAACTATGAGGATCGAGAAGAAGATGAAAAGGAAAATTCATTCCGAAAATAGTTACAGAAAAAACATACTTTAGTATAAGGCTGAAAGAAGTAATAGAGCTGCCAGTGAAATTTCGGCATTGAAACTCATTTGACATCGTGGGCTTCAGCCCGAAAGAAACTGAGCAATAGTTGGCTTAGTGAAGGGTCAAGAATGTGCGCAACATGATTCCATCTACTTCAACAGCCTACTACAACAGAAATCATGCCCGTCGTCTTTTTTCATTACCAATTCGAAGCTCATCGAATTACATAGCGTCGAAATGGAAGCGATGCGATTGTTGTTGCCGTTCCACTCGGTCTTCTTTCCTCTCACGATAATGCAAGAATGCAACCACCATGAGAAGCATGACACAGACAAGCGCAATCACCGCCAGACTCTGGAATCCTTGACACATTGACATTCCATCTTAGAAGAGCAAAAGGTATACTAAGGAGAACTGCGCGTGAAATTAAATGTGTTGACCCCGTGAACGCACAGGAAGCCATGGGCGAAAACCGGAAAGCAAGGGCGACGCCAATATCCCTATCCCTATCCACCTGCAGCCAGGTACTGCCTAGAAGAGAACTAAGAAGTACTGCGTGTACTCGCTGGTCTTCCGTAAAGGTTTTCGTGAAGTTTTGCTTAGCTTGAAGGAGGAAGTTGAAGTGAGTAAGTAAGTGAAGTTTTGCTTGCTGTGTCCCCGATGTTATCCTAAACGTATAATTTAATGGCAGCATGTCAGCTTAGAATCGTCTGCTAAAGAAACCGTCATCCACTAGAAAGTTGTGCTGAACATAAAAAACCAATCAATTCACTCGAATTTTTCTTCTTTCACGGGACCGTACCCCAGACTTCGAACAAAAGAGAAAATTTTCTCGAGAAGCGTGTGACGGTATGCAACTCATGGGAAATGACCGGACTAACTTATTGACCTTCCCTTGTCAGTGAAAAAGTGGTGAGGTGAATACAAATCTAAATAGCAGAAGCGAAGGATATGATTCCCATAGTCACAATAGTCACAGAACAGCTTGTACTGACTGTAAGTAGCAACCCACTGCTACTTAGCGGGAAAAAAAAGAAACAGCCCTGAAAACCCTCCAAATTAGAGTCCTGTTGGGTCTAGCCATTACAAGGAATGCAGCAAAGTCTAGCATTCACAAGACATACAGTCAAAGAGACATTGGAAAAGTGTGGAAGAATGGTGCAGGACGATCGAAAGAGAGACGTACCAGAGGAAAGGTGCGAGATGTTAGCGCCTACGTAGCTGACGGCCGGTACACATGACTACGGTGTAAACCAAATTCAATCTAGACGAAACGAGTGTTAACACGAAATGATAGGGATCCCCACCCCTTATCGTCTAAAAAACGTTTTCATGATACGCAAAATAGACTTTACATTTCTCTGCGGTTCCGCATCCAGTCATCTTTTCCAGGAATAGATTTTGGCATGTTGACTAATCGCGGACTCTATTTTTAATACCTAACTGCAAAAGCGGTAACAAACCTGAAGAATGAGCTGCGAAGGGGTGACATAGAGTCGTGTAAGCCATTGTGAGCCGTCTTCAGCAGGAGGTATAACAACAATTCTTGAATTCGGCACTATCTGCTTCAGCGTGTGTTGGCGAGCATTTAGTGCATCAGAGTAAAGTGGTGCACCAATAGTAAGCTGAAAAACAGAACAAATGATTAATGCTGGGAATGGTTATTAATGAATCCTGGAAACAAAAGAAACGAACTGACCTCATCGACAAAATTTGGACTTCGACCAAGGCCAAACAACACATAAGGCGGTGCCAAGGCACGATGCGTTCCTGCAGGTATCTGGCAGGCTGAGCTCTTCAATGATCCACCCCATCCATCAGACATGCTGAAGCTTGCACATGCTCCACCCCAGCTGACGCCAGAACCTGAAACTTTCATTATCACGAATATTATTACAATATTCAATGTCAATAGGACATTGCCATGGTGTTGCGCTAGCAAGAGAAAAATTCGAAGAAAACAAGGAGGGAACTTGAAAAAAGGACTACTCTGTCTTGTGGTGTAGAAGGCGCACTTATCAGCATGCTGGCAGAGACGCGAGAACGCGCGCGAAAAGTTTCTAAACGCAACAGCTGCATTTACAATCTTCTTTTCTTATTTCAACCTCCTAATTGGTTTC